TACTGTTATTACTCATACCTTATGTTGATGCTGATTCTTGATTTGAAATAATGTACAGTATAAAACATAATATTATTGTTTTGATGTTATTTTTGACCTATTAAATGGTTTAGAATTCATGTGACTAAATAGATTTACATGATTGTAAGACCTATTAAGAAATAGGTGAAAAAAATCTCTCTATTATGTTTAAACAATGAAGAATCCAAAGTGGCAAAGTGGTTAAAACGTCCAACTAGTAGTCTAAGGATTGCAGGTTGCAGGGGTAAGCTGTTGTTTCCATGAGCAAGAAACTTTAAATTCATTGCTTAGTACCGGTATGGTTTCAGGAACAGTTTCACAAGTGTTTCAATAAGCTTATAGCCTCCATCACAATCAAATCAGATTTGAATAAACTAAACTGAAGAATCCCCGCCTTTATATGTTTGAAAGCAATATGATGAAACATTTACTTGATATGCAATTTGAACCAATCTGATGAAATGCAAGTCTGTCAATTTAAATGGTTGCCATTTATCTTTCTTCTATGCATGTACAAATCTTTGTTTTTTCATCAATTAATTGAAGGCCAAATTCTAAATACAAAATGTATTTCTTAATGTATTGCCTTCATGAATTAGTCTTTTACAAGAATTCTTCTGTCAAGTAAAAAATTAATAAAGAGGACACTAATTTCATTTAACTTTAACATCTGACCTAGATTATGTACAAAGCTTAGCTTACCATGTCCCGTGAATATTAAGCTAGATCAAATTTACATTTTTTGATAAATCAGTACAATTCATACAAGAGTTTATAAATCCATCTTAAATTGGTAAAACTGGTATAAACCAATTAAAATATATATATTTAAATCCCTTTAATGATTTATGTCATCTTAATGATGAATTTATCTTTAATAACCGAATTTATCTCACTCAAACGGAACGAAGTAAATATTACTGTAATGTCAATGCCATATGTAAGATAATGGTCAAGGAGAAATTCTTTTAATGGAATGGTGTTATCTTAAAATAACAAAAACTAAAAATTTAAATTTCATTTGAAATACTACTGTATTTTTATATTCTTTTAATACAAGAGAGTTCCTTATGTCAATTGTGTGCACTTTGTCAAAGTTTGCTATATAACGCTGTGTTAATAGAAAGGAAATCACTGTACATGTATCATTTACTGCAAGTGTTTTGTACAATACAATGTGTATGGCTTATTGCGATTTACTTCCAGTCACTGTATTATTAATTTAGAGCTTATACAATTGAATTTTTTCATATTTAGCAATCACAGAGAGTAGATTTATTTCTATATAGTTAAGATCACTGTAAAAATATATATATCTCATACATCCAACCAATTACCGTAAAATTCCTAATAAATGCCCTCCCCTAATAAAGGCCCCCAGGCCTTTTGATAAGAAAAACAATCTACTCATCAGTGCTGAACTCATGAGTAAATCCATAATTTCATTCAAATCATTCAGAATTCATTTTATTTTATAGTATGAACTTTAAAATCTTAACACTTTTTAAAGTTATTACCAACACTTGCTAACACTAAATGTATTTACAATGATTTTTGGATTTAGGAAAAACAGTGTTGTAAAAATAGCCACCCCTTTTGGAAAATGTTTAGCCCCTGGGGGCATTTAATAGGAATTTTACGGTAATTGTCTACTTAATTGTTTGTACTTTACTTAAAGCTACACATCTCCAGATGAGCAAAAACAGTGCAATAAAAATCAAACCTGAGAAAAATGTATTAAGACTTTAGGAAAAGTTAAAAGATTCAAAATTCTAGTAAAAATTTACATGTTATGTGCAATTAATGACCTATTTTTCAGTATTTATAACTATATTTCTACTGCGTTACTTAATGCAGTAAGGGCTATTTTTGTATATTTTACCCTATTTTTGGTAACTTACACTGGTTGGAAGTGCCATTGATAATGTGTAAATTGCATTCTTTTGGTTACTTTACAATAATATACTTTTAAATACATTTTCAAATTTTCATGAAAATTAGCATGAATCTGGAGGCGTGCTCGCAACTTTAAAACATTCCTTATATTAAAGGAACTCATCTGCAGTCCGAAAGCCAAATTTAAAACATAAAAATTTGAACTTTCTAAATAGATCTGCTGGGGCACTTAAAAACAAAAGGATATATGCAAAAGATGATAAGAAATTTATTCAGAAATATATTGAAAAATGTTATATGAACTATATTCATTCCAATTTCAGTGCAAAGCTTTCCAACTTTGAGTGATTTTTCACAATAAGAATTATTATTCTGTAAAAAAACAGAGTGGACAAATGATCAGAAATTTTGCACACAAGTTATTGGTCTTGACCTACATCAAATGGAACATTATTCTTGAACAAATATTTTCAGTTTAGTCATGTCAAAAAACCTCGAGTAGGACTCCAACCCTTGATCCCTGGGTTGAGAGGCAGACAACTTGACTACTAGGACACCGCTCCCCTTCAAACATATTATTCAATGTACTCTTCATTGAATCATCTACATTGTATTAAAACTGTAACAAAAGGTAAAATGGGTTGAAGTTAGTCCTTAAAATCTCATTTGAACCTCTTAATCCACATAATGATTAATGGAGAACTCCATAAAAATTCAGTTAATTAAATAATGCTGGCATAATTATGATAACAATATTATAACACAGGGTGAGATGTAATTTATTTCTGACATTCTACCTTACCATGTGTTATCATGTTTTTACTACAGATGTTACCACAACTTAACAACAATGATGTCAGAAATCACTGATTAACAACAACAGGATGTAAAAAAGTGTTTGATTTACAAGTAAGTGTCCTAAATATACCAACAATCTTTTTGTTATGTAAAAACAGCACAATATAATGCACAATCTCCTGCTTCATTAATGTCTTATACATATATACATGATTAACCTGTTATACTGACACTTGACTGACTAGTGCTAGATCTTTCCCCTAAAGAAGAGCATCAATACTAAGAAGATGTTAGCACAATTTTTTAAAATGGTTGTTTTGGTTTGCTTTTTCATAATTTCACCGACATTTAAAAAACGCTTTAAAACTAAAAAATGCGTTATTTCATTTATCATTTCATTTCAATTAAAAATGATAATAATTTTCTTTCTCATATTCCTCATTTTTAATCATTTATGTATGATTTACCTATAGAGCTGTTTACCTCCAGACATAGCTAACACTTTTCATTCATTAAATATTCTCGTAATACAGATTGTTTGTTCTCAACTACAATCATTTATTAATAACAAATGGGCCTTTTGTGTTTGAGCTCTCCATGAAAATATGTTGTTTATACAGTCATCTATAAGCAAAAACAATTTTCTGAACATAACAGTAAAACCAACACTTTCTAAACTTACAAAAAAACCTCTATATTTTATGTGTGTGTTTTTTGTTGTTGTTTTTTTTCTTACAGAAATACACCCCTTTTATAACGATTTCTAAATCAAAAGAAAGTGAAGTTTCCTTCTTGTTTGTTTTAAAAAATAAAAAAGTAAACACCTAAACACTGAACAAATATGTTATTTTTATGTAACTTCGATTTTCTTCCAAACCATTTTAAACTTCTCTTTTTCATATTTTGTTGCAATCTTTCTAATTTAACATGGAATTTCAAATGAAGTAAGAGTTTGACATATAACAGTTAATATGTATTCCATCAAAACTTCACCCACCTGTAAATATTTGTAAATATTTATGTTCTTTAAACACAATCATGATGTTTCATGTCAACACCCCTCCCCTCCCTGTAGCATAAACACTTCCTTATCTTAATAAATGAGATTATAAGATGAAAATATTAATAGTAATTTTTATGACCCTATTTATCACATGACGTCACTAATGTTTTCCATGTGAAATAACCATTACAAATTTTTCTATATTATACAGTCACAAGTCTATATATTATTCAGTCATTTTTCTTTATATTATACAGTCATATTTCTTTATATTAGACAGTCACATGTAAAAATTTTAGCAAGGTTGTAACATTATTTTTAACTATATACATTTCATGTAATAAAAAGAATCTCACATTCCTTGTTTAATATATAACTTCAATTTGTTGGAAGAAAGGTTATAAATTATAGGATTGTTTTATAACAATTTCTTGAAGTTGTTTAATATCTAAAAGAAAAATTATTTTAATAGTTATACTATAATGGCAACTCATTAGATCCTTTATATATGTTTCAACCATAAACAATTTGCAATAAGCATCTAAAATTAAAAAAAACCCTCATTTTTCAGTTTTGAACAAATGTATTTTTTTATCAGATTGTTTTCATATTTTATAACTTAAATGTAAGTACAACAACTATTGCTAATTTCATTTTGCTAAATAAAAGTCCTAAATTGTTAATGATAGTTATGCTGTATCATGTACTGTAGAAATAGAATACGGAAACATATAAAATGCCAGAGGGAAAAAAACAACAAAAAAACAATAAAATTTTGTACCTCTTATGTATGATACAATTTATAAATCTCTGCTTAATGCAATTTAAATATAACTATAAAATAATAGCTAGACTAAATTCACAATGAAAACTTAAAGTACAAGCCGCTCCAAGCCTGGATCAGTCTCAGTAAATTCAATGTACTGTACACATATAAAAACAAATTTCTATGTGGTCAAAATAAGCAAGTGTTTAAAGACTAACAACATGAACAATAGTGCAGTTATGTTTATACTAAAAAAATATGTTATGTTTATTGTTACTTACAATTAAGTGATCTGTATCCATCAAAATTGGAATGACATGACGTTAAAAGAAATACAAATCCATTGTCACATTTGTAGCATTTAAAAGTTTTATGCTATGATTCAAATTCAACAAAAGAAACTTTTTTTGAAGTCATCAAAACTTTTATGCTATTTGATATTATCCGATGTTTATTTCGTAAGAAACTTCGGTGAACGAAAAATATTTTTCACTTATTACCACAGCATTTTCTTACCCATTTACTGTTTATATATCCTCTTCGAAAAGTAATTGGAAATCTCTCAATATTTGTTGTAAAACTCTGTCTAGGTGTAAATGGCGTTATGTATAAAAGGGGAATAACTCTGTCTGAATGGAAATTGTTATTATTGCAGTTGTCCGAATGCCACGTTATAACCTTATACGGTTAATTCTGATATAAACCAATAAAATAAATCTGTCTTGTTAATTTTACTGCAGTAGACGAAATCAAAAAGCTTAAATAGTGTATAAATTAACATATGAACTTCTTGCGGATTCAATAATGAATTAAAACTGCGTATAAGAATTAATTATTATATAATTTTTATATAATTGCAAATGGCAAATATCCGCATATAAATTGGCGACAACGCCAAGATTAGCCACCGATATTTGTCAGCACCAGTACCTTCATAAACACGTGCATGAAGTGAATGAACACAATCCGATGCAGTTGATAAACACGACTGCTTGTGTAATATATTCTCACAAAATATATTTTCTGTATGCGAAATTGTTTGGCATCATGATTCAAAACATGTAGGCTTGTTTATGTTTATATCGTTAAGAATCAAATGTCATTGCCTTGCACGTCGAGATAAATATCTTGTAAAAGCTATATGAAGAGATAATCTAAACAATATTTGAAATACAGACAAGTCCCAATGTAAATAAAGAGTATTCTTGTAATGTAATGTGATTGTGGTTAAATGAAGAAAAAAATCGTATCTGATCTCAAAAGCTACGTCCCTAATTTTTCATATTTTTGTTTAAAAGAACAAATAAATAAACGCACATTAAACATGTTGGGCGACACATTGTAGCAGAACGACGATGTCTCTATCTACTCTACAGTAACTGATGTATGACCGATCAAACATTTCAATACTTGGATTAAGAAATAATTATTGTTCACAATAGTTACACGTATATAGTAGTCCATTTGCTAGTATTTCGAGATCATTGTCAAGCCAATGTCTGAATTCCGCCGTGTCTCATTCAAAATTCATCCCATTCTGCAATTATATTTATATTTAGCTTTAAAGTATAGACATTTTTGCGTCATAGCTTTTCATACCCATGTTGTTCTCCAGAATAATTAGCACAAAACTAATAAAATTATTAATGCACTTTTGTGTGACAATAATCTAATATCTGGAAATCTCAGTGACGTTGATAATTCTAATATTATTTTTTTGTTCACCTTTAAGGCATTCGCAAGAAAGACAACATTTTCACGATTTCTATATTTGAAATTATGTAACACGATAAATAGAAATTTCGTTTTAAAAAGAAAACAAAGAAAAAACTCACCAGTTAAAAAAAAAACAACAACAAAAAACTGAAACTGAAAGAAAGAAATGTTTGCATAAGTCATAGAATATACCACATACATATGTACACCTTAAATATTATAAGAAATGTATTATTAATACCAAGATAGTTCAACATGTAATTGATTGTAAACCTTCTTCGTTATTGTTTAAACCTTGTTTGTATATTTTCTTTTGCACACTGTCTTACCATATATTGTTTGTTTGCTTGTTTGTTTGTTTCATTTTACGCCTTTTCCCAACAGTATTTCAGTCATATAGGCGGGTAGTTTCCTAACCATCGTTCCTGGAGAGTTACACCAGTACTAGACTATCTTCCTCCGTGCTAAACTACCAAAGCATCTCCCGGGGTCTTACCATATATAAACACATGTATATGTTGTATTGTATACTCTATGTGGCCTTATGGAATTTGAATAATAAACTTATCAAACATACTGATAAAAATCCATTTTGATAAAAAAAATGCTATTGTCCAAAATGTGACCGAGCTCGTTTAGGTTTGATAATTATCTATTGAAAAATAAAGTTATCAAACTTACTTATCAAAATCCATTTTAATCAAAAAAGATACTAAAAATGAGGCCGAGCTCGTTTAGGTGCGGTAATTATCTCTTTTGGTTTATAAGTATAATGTGAACAGAATTTTACTGACGAAATCAATCATTCTTGTTAAGAAATTTGTTGGTATAAATGTATACTGAGTTAATTATTTAACTGATATATTCCTGAAATAATTGTTCAGAAAACACCGGCAAATCTCTGTCTTTGGCATAAAGTGATTATTGTTTATAATCAATATTACATGTATATTTTTGACGTAAATGTTTTCGTCTTCACGTATCACACCGACCGTACTCATTTAAACATTTTCGGATACTCATTTATGAAATATATCTTTAATTATTGGAAAAAAACACCGTAGAAATGGTTAGATTAAAATTTGTAAAATTATTTTCCGGTATATTGGCTATTTGCAGTTGTCTGTTGAATTTACCTTTATATGAAGCATAAAATGGTAACTAATCCTTGGTTAAAAAGTATATTAAGATGTTTTAGGGTGGTGCTTTTTTATTTACAAAATGCTTGTTAGGGAAAATTTTAATCAATTCTTGCTGGTAAGTCTCAGAGTTGTTTATCTAAAAAATACCATTGATCAAGTTACGCAAAATGTAGTGATAAATTACTTCTCAAACATATTTACTTAAGTACAAATGTATATGTATGATAAGGCGAAGTGTGTTGTATTTCTAGCATGACGAAAAAAACGAATACTGAAACCACCCAAAAATAGAAAGGTCAAATAGAGGAAACAAAGAAAAAAATGCCGCACACAACATGTACACACAACAATAATGTTGTGTTGAATGATCTTCAATGATCGAAAATATAACATCTTTGATTATATGTACGGGATGACTTTTTACGGCCTCCACACGGCACAAATAACACCGATGTTGCAATAAATAGAGAAAAGCGGAATCCCTAAAGAACATCCAAAACGACAAAATAGGAAATGCTGCAGGCTAGGTTTGATTGAGCCTGTCCATGGACGGTACTTGAAAGTGCAAGTTAACACCCAAATCTCCTAGCACCGGCTTAAGTACAATAATTAAACGTTATTGGAGAGGAACTAATTAAAGTATTTTACTTGTGTTATAATCCAGTCTCGTTTTGTTGTAAAATGTAATGCTTTTCTTGTATGATACAATTTATATATATAAATGTAGATATTGAATGAATAAAGTTTAAATAAAGCAGCTGTTTTTGTTGTTGTTCTTTTAACAAAAGCATTCTTTATAGTTTATACAAAGTGTTCATCCCTTCTGAGTTCAATCTTTGCCGATTACATAAAATAATGTCCATTTGTACTTGATGATAAAATTAAAAAAAAAATAAGACTTCAGACGTATAACCTGTACTCCTTTTCTGTAGACAACTTGGCATAGATATCATAGAAATCCTTTAAAAATGAGCCATCGATTTTACATACGTGAAATTCCTGGCAACTACATCTATAATGGCATATATTTGCCATTAAGTTCAAGCTTTCTTTTGTTCCCAGTGTCTCAGAAATAATCTGCAAATTGTCTTATTGTGTGCCTTATTATGAACGGATAAAGTCTTATTATATACGGATATTGTCTGCAAAGGCGATTACAATCCAAATTTGTTTCTTTAATTATTATGGTAATTATTAAATGACAATGCCTGCTGATTAATGAACGCAATTGAATATTTCGAGTAAGCAAGCACATTAGTAGAGATAACAGATAATATATTTTTGCATTTTAACCTAAAATCTCTATACATGTACATATAAAGATATTAAGTTGAACGACTAACGTGTAATAAAAGTCAGTGCACAATGCACCACCCTATCTTTTATTTGTGGATAATAAACAAATTTGAGATCACCTAAAATGTTGTCTGAAAACCCTGTTAAATCTTTTAGAATTGCACATTAAATATTCATTAGTAACATATGTTTTATCATAAAGGATTGTACATGCTATGATGCTTTATAGGTTCTTAGTATAAATTCAGACAAAATAATGAATTTAATATTGGCCTGTCTCTTGATTAAAAATTGACAACATATACTTAAACGTCTATACATATTTGTTGGGATTTGTTCACAACACTTTATGGCCTAGCATGTATTTTTTTCTTTTTTGTTTATCAATTAGATCCGTAAGTGTCTTTCAAAAAAAAAATTAAACAGACGTATTTTATTTTTTTGATACGTGAAACAAAGTAATAGTAATAAACAAGAGCTGTCACTACAAAGTGATTTATGCCCCCGAAAGGAAGCTTTGATATAAAATCAATTATATGCCATAAATATGCCAAAATAATTCAAGCTGAAAATCAAGATACTATGCACAAGTAGGCATGGTGACAAACAATCCTGTGAAATTTCACTGAACCAAAGCGGTTTTGGTTTAATGTTTAATGTTGAATTCTGCTTAAGCCGGTGCTAGGGGGCGTGGACGGTAACTTGCACTTTCCAGTGCCGTCCATGAACAGGCTCAATCAAACCGAGCCTGCAACATTTTCAATTTTGCCGTGTTGGGCTTTCTTTAGGGATCCTGTATTTATCTATTTTTTGGAGATAAAGCGCGGACAAGATTACCGCCGGACGGACGGACATATGGAAGGACGGACAGTGCGATTACAATATCCGCGTCATAAAAACTGCAAAAAAATAAATAACACAAATCAAATACAGTATGGGAATTAGGTAACTTTACATTATATAGTCAGCAAAGTTTGGTTTGTCTTAAAGTGAATCTTTGAAGACCGACGAATCTGTCTGTTGTTGGGTCTATTCTTCCAGTCAATATAAACATTGTTTGCAAACTGCAATCTTTAACAATTTATATATGTTGCTTTGATAACAGTGATAGTTTTCTCTCATGATTTTCATAGTTGCACAATACTAAGTTAATGCTTATGTGTCTGATATGTTGTATTTTACCAAATCAAATATTAAAAAGGATCAACATTTAAATACCTCCATATCAAAAACAAATTAGATCATACGATTGTTCGTTTATATAACAGATGTGATAAATGAGAAGAATGTTAACAAATTGCAACTCGACTAAAGTACTTGAAGTTCAATGTAAATAAAAACAAACACACAAACAAATAAAACTAACACATGAAATAACCATACAATTTTATAAAACAATTTTTGTAAATTCTACAAGGTAAAATTCTTGAAAGGCGGACAACGTGCATAACGTCCGTGAAATTTTCTTTCAACACTCCTTAGCTACTGCTTTATATTATTTACTAGTAATCCGGGGGGGGGGTATTTATATGTCTTTTATTTTCATTTTCTTTTTCT